TGGGGAAGAATTCCATTTGTGGAGGGTGTATTGAGGGCAAAGCCACTGTCCAGAACAGAACCTGATGAGGGTTCTTACAATCTCCCAGGATCTTTAATGAAAGCAGACAGTTGGGATTGCATTATAGATATTTAAACAAACATTAGGAGTTCTGGCAGAAATGTTGTCTCTGCCCCCAGGCCCTGGGGGTTTTTGGGGTTGATACAGACTCTGCAGTTAGGAAGGGACCTGTCCCCAATATTCTGTGTCCCTGCTGGGAAGCCTTGCCTGGCCCTTCCCTCAGCAGCTGCTCTTTCCCTCCCAGGAGCTGAAGGACATTGTGCTGTATTTATGTGACACCTGCACAACTCTCTGGGCCTTTCTTGATGTCTTTCCCTTGGCTTGCCAGACCTTCCAAAAACACGAGTTTTGTTACAGGTATGTCTTGGAGGGCAAAGTTTGTCCTGGCTGTGTAGAAATACTGAATGTGCCACTGTGTCCTGTCCCGTTGTTAGATGAGGAGACAGATTTGGTGCAGAGGCTGCTGGGGTCTCTCTGGCAGGAATGCAGCATAATAAATACATGGAGATAGGGATGTGTGGATTTTCTGTTTTATGTCTGCTGTTATTTAGGAGTGATCCTAGAGCCAGGCATCCATGGCCATTTCCAGTCAGCTGAACAGTACTGGGTGTGCTCTGGGAAAGGTGGGGAGGGACCAGTTATGGACAAAAGGAACTTCATGCTGTAGGACCCAAAGCAAGGGAAGCAGAAAGTATTTCAGAGAAATAGTTCTTCAAGATCTGAAAACAAATGCCTTTGATGTTATGCCCAAGTTTTATGCTAGAGAATATCAGTGAGGTTTGGCAAAAGCTGAGTGGCTGGGAGAGAGTGGCAAGAGAACAGCCTCAAGCTGTGCCAGGGAGGTTCAGCTTGGGTGTTAGGGAACATTTCTTCATGGAAAGGGATGTCCAGCCCTGGCACAGCTGCCCAGGGCAGTGCTGGAGTCCCCATCCCTGCAGGGATTTACCAGCTGGATGTGGCACTTGGGGACATGGTCTGTGGTGCCTTGGCAGTGCTGGGGAATGGTTGGACTCAGTGCTCTCAGGGGGCTTTTCCAACATGAAGGTTTCTGTGATTCTGAGAGTGTTGGGTCTTTTCAGGCTGCAGATCTGTGTTGGGGGTTTTTCTGGGTTGAGCAGATGGTTCTGATCAGCACCAGGATGCTGCTCAAATGTTTTTCTTTCTTACCCCTTCAAAGACCTCCCTGTGATTTCCTTAGAGTGCTGCTCTTTTTTCTGTGCTGTGTTTGCTTGTGTTCTGGGGCAAAAATATCAAAATGAGGTGATGCTCATGGGTGCTGCTGGTGAGGAGGGTTTCATGGAATCAGCCATTTGTTCTGCCTTTTAGCAAATGACTTTTGCAACCTCAGCTGACAGGTACAGGTTTGTTCCCCTCTGTACAGATTGGCTTCATTTTATGAACTGGCAATTCCTGAGCTGGAATCTGCAATCAAGAAGAGGCATTATGAAGATAACAGGTGAGAATTCCTGCAAAGGTTTCCTTTGGATCTTCAGTGAGACTTCCCTGGGCTTAGTTAAGAATTCACTTCATGCTGCTTTACCCATCCCTGAGGAGCCTGGCTTTTTTTCTGCTGCTTCAAAGGGCTCTGAAGAGATGACTTCTGTAATAGCAAATTTTCCTGGGCACTGGGGTGACGAATCATTTTTAGTGCTGTGTAAGAAGGAATTTGATGGGAGGTGCATGTAAATTGTTACAAAGTGTGAGAACATGAATGATATCTCTGTGTAGCTCAGTCTCACTGTGAGGCACAGGCTGTGCTGGTACAGCAGGGGTCTCATGTGGGGAGCTGCCAGGACAATTGGGATTGAAAGCTTTATTTAAGGCATGGATTTTCCTTAATGACCATGAAATGTGTCTAATACCTGGTCTTTGCAGCAAGGAGATGATCATCCTAATGAAATTCTTCTTCTAGAGGATTAACTCTGGCATAAAGGTGTGTTACAGATTCTGGTGCTGACACCAACAGTGTCTTTTGCTCTCTCTGAAGTGTTTTTGCTGATTTGTGGAGGAGGATTTCACACTCCAGAAAGAAGATGATAGAGGTTTTTCACATCCTAGTAAACCAAGTCTGTCTGCAGCCCATCCTAGAGAGCAGGTATTGGCACTTGGCTCTGTGCTACTCACCAATTACTTGATTGCTGTGTGGGAGAAATTGCTTCTCATTTACAAATTTACTGGAGAAAATGAACAGAAACTGCTATTTGTGTTGGGATCGTAGCCAAAGGCTTGGCTAAGGTCAAATTCTGTTGTCCTCTGTATCAGAATGTTCCAGATGGAGCTGGTTGGTCCAGAATCTCTGTGCTGAGCTGGGTCCAATGAGCTTTCTGACCCCAGTGTGTGGCTCGTGCAAAGTTTGGTCATGTGTAACACCTTGAGACCTGATTGTGACCTTCCAGGACCTGGAGATCCAACACTACAGATGGAGAGAGGCTGTTTACAGGGGCTTGGAGTGACAGGATGAGGGGGAATGGCTTCCCACTGCCAGAGGGCAAGGTTACATGGGATATTGGGAATTAGGAATTGTTCCCTGGCAGGGTGGGCAGGCCCTGGCACAGGGTGCCCAGAGCAGCTGGGCATCCCTGGAAGCATCCAAGGCAAGGCTGGATGGGTTTGGAGCACCCTGTGCTAGTGGAAGGGTGTGGCACTGGGTGGCTTTAAGGTCCCTTCCCACCCAAAGGTGCCTTGGAACAAGGCTTGGAGCCTCAGCAGCACCCAGGGCTTGGGCACTGAGGCTGCAGTGGGAGTTTGCTTGGCAGGTGTTCTTGCTCAGGTGAGCACCAACTTTCTGGAAAATTCACTGGTGTAATCCCAAGCCATCATAGAGGCACAATTACAAAAGCTGTGCACACCATTTTCTGCTCACTGCAAGTCTGAGGCATCAAACTATTTATATAGTCTGTCTGAAAACTTGTAATTCTAGGTGTGATACAGCTTGAGATCAAAATGCTGAAATGTTTGCTGAAGCCTTAAAAACCACTTGCTTCCATTTGACTCTTTGCTCCTGTGAAAGCCAAATGTGGCCTGAAATCTCTCTTGCAATGGGGCTTTCCCTTGGTGCGTAAATGTGAGTGGTGGGCTTGGCAGACTTGTGTCTGAGTGTTCACTGTGCTGTTTCCTGCAGCTGTGAGAATATTCAGCCGTTTATTGAGGAATTTCTGCAGATCTTCACCTCGGTGCTCCAGGAGAGGAGGTGAGTCTGGCTGGCAGGAGGCCTGAGGGGCTCAGCTCCTTCCTCTGCCATTCTTCACAGCAGAATTGCCTGAGGCAGCATTACGAGGCATTTGGGAGTCAGAAATCTTGTAAGTAGCTGGGAGAAGTGCAGTGAGAGGATTTCAGCCTGCAGCACAGACCCTGGCACTGAGAAATGCAATTCTTCACTCCCTTTAATCCAGCCTCACAAAGAAGAGAAGTGCAATTTAGCCATTAGCTGCCTTGACAAGTTAGGCTGTTATTACTGATCTGTGCTTTCCAGCTGGGCTGACCAGACCAGAAAAATATTAAACATGAATGCTGGAGATGCAAAGGAAGTGGCAGAACTGGGAATTCCATCTTGTCCTCCTGCCCATGCTGGCATTCTGAGCACATTCACATGGTAAAGCAGATTTTCCCTGTAATGCAGCACTGGGTTCCAGCCCTCACACCTGAGGAGTGTTGCTGTGGTGTAGTGGGACCAAAATCAGGCATGGCTGGAATCCAGCATTGGGTGAGAGGTTTTCTGTTCCTACCTGAGCACTGAGGCAGTCAGAGAGGCACAGTAGTGCTCATTAATTGAGCTCCACTGATTAAACTTGCTCCTGTGTTTTCAGATTTCTCCGTGACTACGACGAGCTGTTCCCCGTTGAGGATGATGTGAGTCTGCTCCAGCAGGCATCCTCTGCACTGTATCCTTGGGCTCTGCACTTGGATTCCTTCACACCAGTGACATTTCTGCCTCTGGTTAAGCTGCATGACTGGCAAGGAGCACTGGAAAGTTTTCCCTTAACAATAAAAAAAAGGACAGGGGGGAATTGTTGCCTAGAGAAGCTGAGGCTGCCCCATCCCTGCAAGTGTCCAAAGCTTGGAGCAACCTGGTGTAATGGAAGCTGTCCTTGCCCATGGCAGGGGGTGGGACAAGATGAGCTTTAAGGTCCCTTCCCACCCAAACCATTCCGTGGTTTTGTGAGTGTTGGTGCAGGCACAAATTTGTACATTGCTGACCATCCCGTAGTTACTTCAGGATGATCCCTGAACATGTGCATCCAGAAATGTCCTTAATCCTGTGCTCTTAGAGATGAGACCAGGACAGCCTACATCCTCCAAGCAGTGGAAAGTGCCTGGGAAGGAGTAGACAGGAGAAAAGGACAAGCTGTTAAAGCTCCAGCAGCATCCAACAGGGCTTCAGCCATAGTGGAGAGCAGCCCTGAGGACAGGGAGGATGCGGGGGCTGCGTGTGCCCTGGAGGATGAGGTGGGTACAGCTCCGTGTGGGACTGGGCTCTGCTCTTCCTGGGGGCTCTGCTCTTCCTGGCCTTCCTCTGTCTGTGAGCACAGGCTTGGTTTGCTCAGCTTTGGGGACAACATGAGATGTGGTGTAATTTCTGACCTTTGCTGGATCTCCATGCAGCCTTGGGAAATGAGACATGAAGCTACACCTGAATCCTGAGTTATCTCTGAGCAAATTGCTTCCAGCTCTCATGGCTTGGGTTTTCCCTTGCTGGAGATTATTCAAATACTCTGTTTCATCCCTGCAGCTCATGTGCATATTTTTGAAATGCAGAGCTCGCCTGTTATTTGAGGAAGGGATTCTCCAGGGTGTCCTTGCTGACTCGGGGACTGGCAAAAGGAGCTGTGTGCCCACAGCTGTGTGCTGGAAACCTCGTGTAGTTTAAACAGCTGGTTTCTCTTTTGGCTCCATATTGGAATATGAATCCCAATATCACCAGTTAGATTGTGCCTGGGCCAGTCTGACCCTCGCTGCTGAGCCAAAGGCGGCAGCTGTGGTGCTTCACCCCAGAGACACCTTTAGCTTGCTGGTGGTTTCAGCTGGGCACCAAACAAGTCCAGGCTTGTTAGGAACTCCATTTACCTTAGGAAGAGACTTCAGGCGAAGGTGAAGAGAAAAAAAGGAGGGATTCTGCCGGAGGGTTATATGCAGTGGTTCATTCCATGGTTACAGAGGTCTGAATCTCAGGGAGACCTCCAACAGAATCCCGAGCACATGGCCGGACTCACCTTTTAAGCTCAGGGGGTGGGGAGGGGAGGGGACAGGTGAGCCAGGTGGGAGGGGCGGGGTCTCAAGGGGCGAGGGACACCTAGACAGGCCAATGACCCCCTGGCCTGAGGGGCATCCTTTGAATTTGACCAACCACACGATGCCTTGTTGGAATGTTAAGCCTGATTGACAGGACTCACTCAGCAAAGGGTGAGGGGGAAGGGGAATGGGTATTGCCACACCTGGGAGGTGACCTGGAAACCTAAAACAGGACATTACAACACACCGCAACAGCTCCACTCTTGGATCTGTGTGTGTAAACCCTGAGAGCCCAGAGTGCTGCTTGCCCTGTGTTCCTGTGCCCACTGCCTGCCCTCAGCCGTGTCCCTGCCCAGTGCCACCAGGTGTGTTTGGTGTCCCCAGTGTGCCGGCGCTGCGGCCGCGCCCGTCGCCGCCGTGTCCGGCGTGGAGCTGGACTCCCTCATCTCCCAAGTGAAGGATCTGCTGCCAGATCTTGGAGAGGGATTCATCCTGGCCTGCCTGGAGGAGTATGGATACGACACAGAGCAGGTGATCAACAACATCCTGGAGGAGAAGCTGGTGCCATACCTGGATAAGCTGGACCGAAGGATGCAAAGGTGTGGGACAAGCTCTGGTTGTTTTTGTCTCACTTAATTGCTCTCACTGAAGGCTCAACACTTGTAGAACTCTGAGAATTTGCATATTTGGGATAGAGAACAGAAGTGAAGGCTTCTCATTGTTACCTGTCACCAGTTTTGTGCCCTCCTTGTGTCCCTGCAGAGGAGTGGGACCTTTGCTGCTCAGTGTTAGAGCAGGTGCAGGGTTGTGTTTTGTGACAGGGGACAAAACCACTAGTACATGAAATGCTAGACTAAACTAGACTAGACTAGAATGCTGGGCAACAGAATATATTGCCTTCAAAAGTTATTTTGCTGCAGCATTTGTTGTCACAGCTGTGAATATCCCAGCTGTCCTGCAGGAAAGGGCATCTTCAGAGGACCCAATTCAGCTGAATTCAACCCACAGGGTCAAATATGGTTATTTAACAGGCTGCTGCTTTGTGAGTGAAGATAGAACAATTCAGATCCATTTTTATATTCCCTCTGACAAACTTGCCAGGCTTGTGCTGCTTTCCTGGATCGGGCAGGGGATGGAGGGTTTATAGCTGGTGGCAGGATTGAGCTGTTGGAATTTGTCTGCAGCTGTGAGTGTGTGTTTGTGCTGCACCAGCAGTTCCTGACAGAGCATCAGGATGTGAATGTGCTGTTTGTTCACATTTCATGGAGTTATGGGCAGACTGTCTCACTGTTGCATTAAAGGAAAGCATCTTTATCGGAAAAATGATGTAAAAAAATCTGAGTTTTGCAACAATCTTTGTGTTCCCACCATCAGATCTGCTGACTTTGGCACAACTGGTGCAGGACAGGCTTTAGGAAGGATTGCTTTTTCTGCAAAGCCAGCAGTTCCACAAGATAGAGCTGCATTTTTTTTCTTCCTGCCTTTTGCATCTTGAAACAAAGCTGCTGGTTCGATAGGAAATGTCGAATTGTGACCCCTGCTGATTTATAGGGGAGCACAGCAGCATTTGCAGCTGCCCAGCTGAGCTGCCTGCACCACCAAAATGAATGTCAAAAGTACAGTCTTTTGACTTACAAGTTGAACAAACATAAACCTGGAACCCTGGGAAAGATTTAACAAGGGAGATAAATATCTTGAAATCAGCAGCAACAAATTATTGGAATTTTTTCCAGCCTGTAATTCATCACACTTAGTGTTTGTCTTCACTGAGTCACTGTGTTGAGACCAGGCAGTCTGTTGAATATTCTGTTGTCCTGCATGGTTTGGTAGACTCTGAAATGAACAGAAGAATTTTCTCTCAGCTTTCTGTGAGTTACTTTGGTTTCCCCTCAGATCCAAGCTCTGGGAAGGGAAGGGGTTGTGCCCTGTGACTCAGCCAGCACCTCTTGGTGTGCTCAGGATCCTTTGCTCAGGATATTTTGGGACTGATAAAGGATAAAGCAAGGGCTTAGGGAAGGGAGAGGATTTCTCTTCCTCACTTCACTTTTGTTTTTATTCTCTGTTTGTTTTTTAACAGGCAGCTGAAGCCAGACCCTACCCCTCTGGTCAGCTCTCGCTGTAACGTTTTCCAGAATGATGAGTTTGATGTTTTCAGCAGGGATGCAGTGGATGTGTCTCGGATCCAGAAAGGCAAGAGGTGAGTGTTGGCACCCAGTCATTAGCTCTGCCTGTCAGGAGGAACAAACACCTGGGATCCTGCACATTTATCTCTCCTGAAGAGCTCCTGCAGGAATGTTTTGGCAAGGGGAAAGGCTTATCAAAAATGTTTCCCACCTGTTTGTCTGGGAAAGTGAAGTGAAATATTATGAGGGGGTTGGTTTCACTTAGTGTTTTTCCTAATTGGCTTTCCTGTGTCTGCTGCTGGAGATTGCTCTGCCAAGCTCATTTGTAATGTCAGGCTCTTCCTCCTTGGGCTTAATGTTCAACTTGCACTGAACAACAAACCTTGAAAAGACCCATCCCTGAGCCTGGGATTGTGACTCAGAGCTGAGAATAACTAATGATTTGATCTGGAGCCAAGGGAAGATTCAATATCCATCTACTTCAACATCTGATAACATTCAGTGCCTTAGACTGCTTGTGTGTCCCTGCTGCTGTGGAGCTTCCTGCAGAAGGGCACTTGGGCTTGTGGAGTAGTTTGGGTTGGGAGGGACCTTTAAAGGTTATTTAGTCAATCTGCCTGCTCTGAGCAGGGATCCCCCTGGCAGGAACAGGGATTTCTGCAAACCCCCACCAGTTTTCACTTTGCTTTCTGCCTCACTGGGTGTGTGGTGCTGGCTCCCACTGATGTCAGCTCTATGGTGTGGTTCCTTTGTTCCAGATTCTTTTAAAACATATCACAGGATCACGGAATGGTTTGGGTTGGAAGGAACTTCAAAGCTCATCTCGTTCCACCCCCTGCCTTGGGCAGGGACACCTTGCACTGGACTTTAAACACCTCCTCTAAGCATCCAAGGGTGATCCTAATGTTGGGATCTATTTACACAGCAGTAAACTAAACGTCTGGCTGGAGTTGGAGCCACTGACCTGAGAGCACCCAGTTAAGGTTTTGGTTGCCAAGTTGCATCAAACTCTAGGAAAAAACCACTTTTGTTCCCAAGCCCAGTGGCCCAGCTCCTCAGAGCAGTGCCACAGTGCTGATCCTGTCTTGGCTGAGCAAGAAAGGAATTTCCTTTCTCTCTGGCCAAGGCCATGACTTTTGTTGTGTCCATAGCTGAAAATTCAGAGATGGAACCTTTCTCCTCCTGTGAGACAGGTGCATTG